GCTCTTCCTATGTCCTTCTTATTATTATCAATTTTGTATTACAGAATAATTTTACAAAGGAAAGAAACATATATGGACATATTTTGCATATAATTATATATAATCATATGCGGAACTTTTTTGCCCGAGTGCTATATCTATTCGAATAAGATGCGTTTGCTAAAAGTTAAAAGAAATGTTTTAAACGTTACAAGGATATTATTTAATAAAATGCAATACGCGCGCGGACATTACGTAAGATAAAAGCCATACGCCCTACCGGATAGTTCACTGACTTTTCTCTGTAAAGTCAAGCGCAGTGAAGGGTGAACAATGCTAGAAGATAATTATCTACATAAGCGTCGTTACAGTTATGGCCATTTCTTTAAGGCAACTTCCTGTGAGATAGAGTTTACTTACACTTAATTATTCGAGATATAATATTTAATCATTCTCTCCCTCCAGGTAAATACGGGAACCACCGCGATTTTGATCAAAGTACAGGATGTGGAGGACCAACCGCCGGAATTCATAGCCATGACGCCTGTCGCAAGGATCAGCGAAAATGTTAGGATTGGCACATCTGTTTTACAAGGTCAGCATTATATCTCGCGAATAAAGCAGCGCTGAAAATACTTCCAATTTGCAGGAAATAATTTTTATTATAAATTTAATGTGATAAAATAGAATAAATGAATAAATAATAAAATTCCATTTATAATGGATGATGCCTCTTAATTAAGATGAGAAATTAACTAAGATGCTGTAATGGACAGCTTTCAGCCAATTAATTTAGAATTTCATTTTTTGACATACTTCGACAGACACGCACGCAACGATATACATGCGCACACACATCACGCGCGCAACTTCTGTTTTTAAATGCTGCAACAATTACAAATCTAAAGGATCTCGCTCTAATAATCGCATATGATACGCTCTTTACTCTATTATGACGGAAGACTAACGCGAGAAAAGTACGATCGCAAAAAGCTATGATCCGTTGTTCCTTCATTAATGCTCTTTAAAACTAGGATAGCAGCAAACTGACACTCTTAGGAATTGGATAGCTAAAGCATTATATGAGCTGCGATGATACATTTTGAGTTTTGTTTTGTGGATATGCCTAAGATAAAGATTAATTCTGATCTATTGAGAAAAATTTGAAAACTTAATGATGATAAATGTTATATACATATATTTATACAAATATTTTTTTCGTTCAAAACAAGAACAAATTATATTCTTGAAATATTGAACGTCAATCGTTTTCAAAGATTATTATGATCTCGATACTTTCAATGATTATGAGACTTTCTGTATTATAAGATCTTGCGGCTCTAATAAGTGTGACAAAAAATTTCGTTACAGTTCGTGCTGTGGATGGTGATAAGGGGATAAACAATAAAGTGACTTATAGCATCACGAAAGGTCCGAGATATCTGTTTGATATCGATGCGACTTCCGGCCTCGTGTTCACCAGAGCGCAATTGGATAGAGAGGCTGAGGAGAATAGCGATGGCACTTTCATTCTAGAAATTACGGTGAAGGAAGTATCGAAGATTAATCCACCGCCGTCTGTCAGTACCGAGGTGACCATTATTCTTACCGACGAAAATGACGAAACGCCGACATTTCGAAGCATGCTGTACCATGCCGAAATAAACGAGAACGCGCCGGAAAATACGCCAGTTAATTTCATTGGCGATGCTGTGCCAGAAGTTTTTGATCATGACTTGGTAAGTTGAGAATAGTGAGAAAAATTATTTCTTAAAAAATTTGACATTCAAAAAGAAATTAATGTTTAAAAAAAGCTGCTTGCTTAGAAAATAATTTTCTTCTATTAACTTTTGTGGAAACGTTCTTTACAATTATAATAAATGTTTTTTCAGGGTACCAACGGCACATTTCGAATATTTATCGAAGGCGATGGTGGGATGTTTGATGTAACACCGTTTCGCGGAATCAATGAGGCACCGTTTTTAATACGCGTTAAGGATTCGAGTAAACTCGATTTTGAAAAGATATCCGGTAAAGGCGTACACACATTCGTCTTCTTTATAAGACATTACAATTAAATTAGACTGTTGAAATATTAACGTTACGTATTCGTCTTGTACTGTGTCACGTGCAAAACTTACGGATTATTTGATTTTTCCAGTGGTAAATTTCACTCTCGTCGCGAGAGAAATCTCGCCGGTTTTGCCGAAATATAGCGCGGTACCAGTTACGGTCTTTATAAAGGATCAAAATGACAATTATCCCGAATTTACGAAAGATATCTACGAGGTCTCGATACCTGAGAATTGTGTCGAGGGAACGACCGTGGCTTGGGTACAGGCTTTGGACGGAGACAGCGGTAACTTTGGAACGCACGGAATACGATATACAACTTTAGGCGGTAGCATTGCGCATGCGTAAGATAAATAAATTATCAAAATAATTCTTAGAATTATATTCCATGTAATTCTATCATAATTTCATATATTTACTTTTTGCCCAGTATAATTACAGAAGGTCTAACGTCGGTAGTAAATAAAATAATGAAAGTAGACTATAGCAAATTTATTTTCGTAGATTGACGATGGATTCTCTCTCTGGCGTAATCACGGTCAAGCATCCTGGACCCAGTTTCGATCGGGAATTAGTCGCTCGGCATTATCTCACCGTCGAGGCGCGAGACCATCTCGGAAAAGGGAATCGCAACTCCGCGCAATTGATAGTTAATATTGATGACGTTAACGACAACGCTCCTATATTTCTGCAAAATAAATACGAGGCGGTGCTGTTGGAGAATGAAGATCACTTTGAATCGCCTCTAATTGTCGAAGCGTCCGACAACGATCTGAATGGTCAGCATTTAATAAATAAAGAAATGAATAAAATGTATATCACTACCTAGTAACTATGGTGTGTCATGCTTATATGTCTGTACAGGAACGCGAAACAGTGAAATAGTCTATGCCCTGGTGTCAAGCGAGTTCTCCCGAAACTTTACCATCGATCCGAAACGCGGAGTTGTTACACCCGCTCGTCCTCTGGATTATGAGGCTCTGCCTATCAATCAGGGACACAAAGAAACGATCATTCGTCAATTGAGATTGACAGTGAGAGCCAGAGATTTGGGCACGCCGAGTCTGACTTCTGACGTTCCTCTGATCATTTATCTGAGAGACGTTAACGATAATGCTCCAGTTTTTGAAAGAGCTTTGTATAAGAGAAATATTCCTGAGGATTTGCCAGGTGGCACGAGTATTGTACAAGTATGTAATTATCATATAATATTAGATACGTTATATAAGAGGCTGTCGCAAAATTGTAAATACAAATTTCTTAATTGCTTAAAAGTAAGAAATAAGAAAAAGTTTAGCAGAAACTGACTTTAGACACAAGTTATCGAGGATAAATCATGAATAAATATTTATTTGCACAGGTGAAAGCTTGGGACAAAGACCTGTCCTCGCCGAATAACAAGTTGGTTTACCGAATTCAGAGCGGGGCCGGAGACAAGTTTGTAATTAGCCCCGAGACAGGCGTGATCCGAGTGGCGCCGGGCTCGAACTTAGATCCGGATCTTACGTCGCCGAAAACCACGAGATATAACTTGAACGTTATCGCCATCGACAGCGGTACGGAAATTCAACTGACGGCCGAGGTTCTCGTGAACATCACGATTCTGGATGTCAATAATAAACCGCCGTTTTTCATCGACCCCGGGACTGTTATTATCAGGGAAAACACTCAGGTACGTTATCAAACGCTTGTCCGCTGATTTCTCAATTTTATCGATAAACAAATGACTTCAGGTCGGTGCTTACGTTCATCGCATAGTGGCGCAGGATCTGGATGCAGCTCCGATTCTGCGTTTTCGCGTTGATCCCAACTCATCGGAGGCACGAAATGAGGAGGGTACTTTGATCAAAGTGCAAGAGTATGACTACCTAGCAGCGCTGGAGTTAAATGCACTGGATGGCTTACTACGTATAGTAAAATTATTAGACAGGGAGAGAGTGGAAACTATTAGACTGGGGCTTGTAGTCGAAGACTTGGCCGCAGTGAGAGGCTTGCAAACTGCATCCGGTTAGTTTTAAAAGTAGTTTTTACATTTGTAAACGGCGAGATCTTTTCCCGCAAGAGTTAATATAAAACCTAATCAAGACAAAAGTTTTTGAAATGTTTACAGAACTTTTTTTGTCGCAAGTATTTCATTAAAATTCAATAATATAAAAATATTTGCAGCTACGCTGAGTATAATTATCGATGATGAGAACGATAATAATCCTAAATTCCGAAGACCATTTTACAGACGTTCTGTTACGGAAAACAGTAAAAATGGCGTTAATATCGCGAATATTGTTGCCGATGACGCCGATAAAAATCGTAGCATTACGTATTCCTTACAAGGCCCGAAAGAGATCACTGACCTCGTGCATTTAGATCCTGAGACCGGAGAAATGGTTGTCGCTAACAAAATCGACAGAGAAATATATTCATGGTTGAATTTAACTGTTAAGGCCACAGATTCTGGAATTCCACCTCGGTAAGAATTATGCTGCAATATAATAATTATTAGGTTATTATATACGTTATGTAAATAGCACATAAATCTCTTTTCACTTTATTGCATTGTTATATTTAATTTTAGAGATATCAGAAATTTATGAGTAATTAAATTATATTTTTTTAACATTAAATAAGTGATAAAATTCTAGCATTATTTTTTGTTACAAACTACATCAAAGTACATTGTGTTTAATTTTGTAGATCAGGTGTATCAGAAGTATATGTTCAAGTCTTGGACGAAAATGACAATAATCCGTATTTTGTTTCGAACATCAGTAACGTGACTGTTATGGAGAATTCAAAAATTGGCACAGAAATCACTGTAATACAGGCAGCAGATTCTGATAGCGGAGATTATGGGAAAATCACTTATCTTTTAGACAGAATGTCATCTCAGGTATGCGAAGCTTGCATTTTCATAATAATACGCAAAGAAATTTTTTATAATAAGTCTACATTTATCTGTTATTTTGCAGCGCATTTTAGCTTTTATTGTTCGCTCAGAGCAAAGTAATGTAATAATTGTACATATATTAACTAATACAGCTTGTTATTTCAAACAGGGGACTTTCGCTATTCATCCAGAAACAGGATCGCTGACAGTGGCTGACGTTCTGGACTGGGAGACCAGACACACTTATGTTTTGGTCATAGAAGCGTGGGATAATTATCAATTTGGTTATACCGCGGGAGAGTCTCGAAATGCATTTAAGCAAATCCAGTATGTCCGCAAAATTTCAAAATACAGTTTCTCGATCTAATGATAAATATGATTTTTCTAATTTAATTTTAAACTGTAAATCGCTTAAACAGCATTATTGTAAAACAAAATATATTGTTTTAGAGTTACAGTCATCGATGTAAATGACAATGCTCCGAAAATGGATATACCTCAAAATTGCATCTCAATATCTGAATTTCATGATATACGGGACTTAATATACATTATAAAAGCGAAGGACGCTGATGACCCGACCACGCCAAACGGACGCGTTATAATTAGGATCACTTCTGGCAATGAATTAGGTGCGCAATTAATTTTTGAATATTGCTCAAGCAAATGTAATGTTTGATATCAGCAATGCGTAACGCAAATATGTATATATTCAGAAATTTATGAAATTCTGTAAAACAACCAGCGTATCTTCTCAAACATATTAAATATAATTGGTTTCGAATGATATCGATGAAATTTTGATTAACAGGTTTATTTATATTGGAACAAACGGATTATTGGACGGCAAAGATAAAAGCTGCTCAACCACTGAGAGGAAAATTTGGAAATTACACGTTAAATGTCGAAGTACGTGATCTGGGAACACCGTCGAATAAGAATAATGGAATTTTGAAAATTTGCGTCACCGATTACAATGATAATCCTCCTTTGTTTATAAGTCCCCAACACAACACCACCATCCGTGTTCCGGAGGTTCGTGTTTCGTGGCCAATTTGCATAATGCTGTATTTCTAACGCGCACGAAACGGCATTAATGTTGTAACAAAATCGATTTTCAGAATGTAACAATAGGAAGTCCGATTATTCAGATCGAAGCGAGAGATGCCGATACGGGATTAAACGGCGATGTGCATTATCGTTTAAAGCAGGATCTCGCGGGCCATTGGAAGACCTTTAGCATTGATGAAAAAACAGGCATGATATCCTTAAAGTTACCGCTCGACAGAGAGACTCAAAAATTATACGAGGTAGGCATATAATCGTGAAATTTTAATTTTATCTTCTATTAATTATTTTATACATTTTTTCTCGTAAATAAAACTGACAAAGTATTTCCGACATAGATACGCGTCGAAGCATACGATTTGGGTATCCCGACGCCTTTAAGCTCAGATCTCGATCTAATTATTTATGTGCGGAACATCAACGATTTCGAGCCGCAATTTTCAGTGAGCGTTTTTAACATTAATTTCACGGAGGAACATCCGCCAGGATCGGAGAGGGTAATACTCCCAGAAACGTTCGACAATGACGATGTTGACGATTTGGACGATCCTCCCACTCAAGTCTGTTATTTCATAATTGGCGGAAACGACGATGGACTGTTCGTTTTGGACATTTATAAACATGAACTTGGCGTAAGTCGCTGAATAAATTATTTTTTATATTTTTTTCTTGATGACTTCAATATTATTTATCATTTAGACTGCTAAGTTACTGGACAGAGAACAGCAAGAAGAACATACATTGCTTATTAAAGCAACGGAGGATTGCAAGACCGTGCCAGAAAATCAAACAACGTTCGACAAGGCTGATGCCACTCTATTACAAGTCATCATAAAAGTTGACGACATTAATGACAACGCACCTCAATTTATTAAAAACGTTTTTACGGGTGGCGTTACTACTGAAGCCGACTTTGGCACGCAATTTATGCACATAAAGGTAACTTTGTATAACGCTCTAAAAAGCATCTGATCTTTCTTTATTTTTTATCGCTACATTATTTAATATTAATTAACAGCATTAATTAGTATTTAATTTTAAGTGCTTAATATTTTTAAATGTGTTTAATACGTAAAAGTATGCTGTAGGCAATTGATGCGGATGCTGGCGAGAACGCTGTACTCAGTTATTATCAAGTGGGCAAAATTCATATGACGTTAACTGAAGGCTTCGAAAATATGCAACTGCAACCTTTTTTAGTAAATAAAGATGATGGAGCAGTGAGTTTAAATTTTGATCCTCAACGAGGGATGAAAGGCTACTTTGATTTCATGGTATATTTATGTTAGCGATATATATCATTTTGATCTATTTTATTTAATATAAAATAATAAGATAAAGTGACATATTGTCTATACAAGAATATTGTATAAATACAGGTACTTGTTAACGATACATATGGCTTGCAAGACACTGCGAGAGTTTTTATCTATTTGTTACGGGAGGATCAAAGGGTTCGTTTTGTTCTCCGTCAACATCCGCCAGAAGTCAGAAGTCGAATTGAGAATTTCCGAGAGTAAGTGCAACACATTTCGCAATGTATTATTGTATAATATCAAACTAGAAATTATGAATTTTCATTAAAATTAAAAGATAAAGATATTTTAGCTGATCATCTAAATTTTCCATTTACAGAGTTCTGGGTAACGTCACTAGTGCTATAATTAACGTTGACGAATACAAAGTGCATGAAAACCAAGACGGTTCTGTAGACAGAACGAAAACGGATTTATATTTGCACCTCGTAAATCGTCGGGACAATTCGATCCTCGAGGTATCCGAGGTCCTCGAATTGGTCGACCGAAACATCGAAAAACTCGACAACCTATTCAAGGAGTTCAACGTCCTCGATACGCAGCCAGCGAAGCCTGAACCGATTATACAATACGAACAAGCTGGAACGACTTTCTGGCTTCTCACATTGACCCTATTTCTAGGAGCTCTACTGATTCTGTGTGTCGCTTTATGTTTGTCCCAAAGGGCGTCTTTCCGTCGACAACTGAAAGCGGCGAACGCATCACCGTTCGGTAACTTGAAATGCAAATAACTCTACCAGTTCTCTCCGGTTCTTCTCATTTTGCCTATTGTCCGCCACTTGTTAGAACCTCTATCGAGTTAATGTGCCCTACTTTTAGAATTTCAATGTAATTGACAAAGTTCTGACTTTTCCACGTCGAAAGTTTTAGAATTTATGAAGCGATTTGCCAATTAAATATCTGTGAGGAAATATTTTTCGTGTAATTTTTATCACAATATTACTTCCAATGTTACAATAAATTTCATTTGTTCTATTGTCATATTGTCAAAGGTGCGTCAGACTCGGAATTTATCAGAAGTCCTGGTCGCGTTCCGAACACGAACAAACACAGCGTCGAAGGATCGAATCCCATATGGATGCACGCTTACGAAAACGAGTGGTTCAAGAACGACGAGTCGTTTAGCCATACGTCCGAAAGAGATTCTCTCGACGAGAATGCGCTTAATAACGAAGAGATGATGAATGAAGCTAACACAAACCAAAGAGCTGAGGATAAACCATATTACATAGAGCCAAGAATTTCCACTATTTCTAGGTATGAAACTACTTTTCTATTATGTTATACCGTTTATTCCTGATTGAAACCGATATAATTTTAATAAGTCGAAAATGATCACTGTATATATATATATATATATATATATATATATTATTAGTGACGATTACAATTGAATTTTTTTCAATTTTATTTCATGTATATCTATATATCTTATATATCTATATGTAATCTATATATATATATATATTTTTTTTTTTTTACTATTACAGTGTGGAGAGTATCGATATTCAAAATAATTTTAACAGAAATTCACCAATTTACTCAGGACAAAATACAATCGTCAATCCCCTGGGAAAAAAGATCGAAACGACGGAATTATAGCAAATCAATAAGTATTGAGGTCACGTGTGATTCACGCTATGCCACTGAATATTCCTTAGATGCAGAATAAAGCCCGGGAATTATTTTGTAAATAATTATGTTGCATAAAGAAGATAGAATGATTCCTCATCGGCTGTTGTAACTACACAAGACTCCTACAAATTATTTATTGTAACAAATTTAGCATATAAAAAATAATGTATATTTAATTCATAATTGATATGTATTTCAATGAATGAATTTGATATGTATGTAACGCAAGAGATATTTTTTATTATTATTATGAGTGCTGAACTTTTTGAATGATTTAATTTATACTTTAATATTAGTCAACATCTACTTGCACAACGACTTATCGTACAATAAATTTTTGTACACCTTTGTATTTTTTATAGACAAATAAATGATTTTTTTCAGTAGATTCTGTCTTCCTATTTCCTAAACAAACAATTCTTTTCCGGATAGACCGTTAATGTTAAATACAAATTAAGAAACGAAAAACGCCGTTAAGTTATTTTCACAGGATTTAATAGATGCTTTAAGAGCATCAATTTATTAGATTGCCGTTGGCAAGTTAATTGTGATATTACGTACTTTTGAGTTTTAGCTGCGTTGAAAGTCCGACGATTATGCGGCGCGTGATTTATTTGAATCGATAAATTGTAAGATTCACATAGTATAATATTATCGAACATCAAGATCCGCTTGGACCGTATTGGAGCGTTTTTCGATTCTTAATTTCTTTCTGCTTAGAGCGAAAAAAGTAAAATCGCGCTAACAGGTACAATTAATCGCACTAATTATTCTTGCAACATCTGACAGTAGTCGACACACCTAATACACATGTATGACAGAAAATTAAAAAGTACGAACAATGATCGAGGTTGTATTATACGTAGCAGGTCACGGGTTGAAAAGTTAGGTAGCCGAGGAAACGGTTACCTATTCTCTTATCGTCTTCCTGAACGTCAGGGTTGCGTGCAACCTCATGCTAATCCAAAGCGGCTATATAACCGACCGGTCAGCGGTCGACTTCAAGCCGGGTACAAGCCTCTTTAAAGCGTTATGGCGTCCTTTGGCCTTTCCATATACATCCACAATTATGATGGCGTACACGTTCCACCGGTCAAGAGTTATCGTCCGGCAATAGAACTATTAAAATGCAAAAACGTTTGAAAATCTTTTCACGCGTATGAATCTAATACACTCGTTCAGATCATGTTCGTTTATAAACGTTAAAAGCGTAAATAACAGATAATAAATAATATTTGCAGTAATAAGACATAAATAATTTTTTTACATTTTATTAGAAGTATTTCAATATAAGAAACTTAATATTGTATTGTAACTTTTTGTCATTACTGTTTAAATTAGTGAAAGAGTGCGCACTAAATTCACGACTGTGGCCCTTAGAGATTAGCCGTCTGATGTTTATCAGTATTCCTTTTCCAATAAACACGCAAAGAAGCCTTTCGTATTTGGGGGATCGCGATTAGCTTCTACTATCTGATGCATCGAGACACGGAGTCAACTACATTTTTTTTTTTATATTTATGGAAACAAATTGTTGACAAACTCATAATATTATTTTACATAATACCTCATTAATAATTAAAGAATTAAATGTGAATCCAACTCACGTTTTAAAAATTTGGAGAAATTAAGTTTTAACAGAGCAGAATAATCAAACATAATGTACTTTATAGTACTTTGCTTAAGGTGTGTATTACAACTCTATGTATTACAACAAGAAAATTTCATTTATTTTATTAAAAATATTTGCTTCAATTTAGAGTTTTACGAAATTTATAAACCGCTAACATGACTCTTTCGAAAAATATACATTCGTATTATTTTATATAAAAAGTAGAAGAAAGTAATTATCATTTGTGCATTACGATTATTTTACTTGATTGCTTTGAGCAATTGCAAACACTCGAGAGCCTGTTATCAGTTACAGATAGTTAAGTGCTTCGATATTATGATGGAGGGGATGGTCGTCGTACACGTGACTCTGTAGAACCGCATCAACGTGGGGGGTTGAACAGTACAACCCCTTTCACACGCGCGGAGTACGCGGCCGCGTGAAGTGTGCTTCCACGCGATCCTCGAGAATGCTGCTTCTGAATCGTAATTGTTCGCCATGTACTTCAGTGACTTCTCACAAGTGTGATTACCGAAAAAGAATAATGAACGTATGATAATGCAAACTCAAACGTCGAAACCTACGCGCGAAAATACTTATGTGACAGCGAAGCGAACGACGGAGAATATAATGTTAAAAATGTCGAAAGGAGAGTTAGCTTCTCGAGAATTGTTCGCGAAGAAAGCAAGAATCACAAATATTTTTGTTTCGGAAATAAGTGTGTCACTGCCAGAAAAATCGTTCGATCTGTGATCAATGGGTATTCGCAGAATCATGAACTATTCAACGATCTCGTGATTATCTGTGTTCTCAGGTAAATTTAATGTCTTTTAGATAGTTTTTGATTTATATTAAATTACGGTTTTAAATTACACAATAACAATAATATTTATAAGTTCTAATATAAATTTTCTTCCACAAATTATTTTTACAATAGTTCGCAAACTTTTAATAGCAATGCCATTTTCATAGTGTAGATTTTACAATTATATTGTTGAGTCTCAATGCGATATGAAATACAATGACATTGTTTATTTCTCAGTCACAGAAAAAATAAATCATCAATGCAGAACACTTTTTAATCTTTGTTATAAAATGAAAAATTGTTTGTAGACTCCACATTTAAAAGAAATATATCATATATTAAACATTGAATGCAATATTATTACATTAATAACTTTTTTCTCTACCACTCTCTTTTGATGTAGTACTATTTTATAATAAAAATTTTAAAGCCGACAAGTAATTGTTTTCCTAATACAATTTCGCGGAAAATATCATTAGAAAGTAATAGAAGGTTAATGACTTTTCTATTAATTTGCAATGAGATATCGGTATTGTATATGTATGACGGAAATGTCGATGCTGAATCGACAAGATATATCGACATTCCTCACGTGCACTGAAATTTCGCGGTACACAATATAAATCGAGCATGAATTTATTTATTATATATTTATAAGACTGACAAAGGTTCACGTGGATTTTCAATCGCGTCCACGGATAAGTATCGATTCTAAGTATCCAACAATGCCGACACAGGTTGTGAAAAAGGAAAAGCCTATCGATCGTCTTGGCGTGGACACTGACCGGCGAAAATATAGTAAGACAATGTGCGCGTGGACAGGTTAAAGCCCACTTCATCGTTATACAAACGAGACTTACTACAGATCTACGTACAGAGTCGATACTGAATATTCCATTGAATGTCTTACGTTCGCTACACCATAGAATATTTATGCAATGTCAAGGCATGAGACATTGACAGAGCATATCCGTTGCAGATAGGAATAGAGTGCACATTGTATGGGTAGAAATGAATATTCTCGATAGGAAAAAAAGTCTAATAAAATTATATACATGTATATATAGAATAATATAAGTGACTCTACAGTTAAATAATAAATAAACTCTATATCGTGCGTTTAACGTATCACTTTTAAACGGCAATGCTTCAATAATTAAAACGTGATACATTTAAAGAAGAAAAGTTTTGAAAAGAAAAACACGTGACTGTCAGTATTGGAGATACTCGAATATAGACACACGTTTTTATCGAATTAAACGCTCAAAAGGGAACAGACAAAACGATCGATCAGCGACCATCGAACAATTTGACCCGTTTATCTGTACGTTGGATACTTATTTAGTAGTCACGCATTGATAATTCTTTAGACACGTTTTAGATCTTTTCATTTTTAATTAATTTCCCCATTTTATTTTTCTTATCTTGAAACGAAAATATAATTAAGGTGGTAGAAAATTATATGTAGAAAACTAAAATTTTTTGGGGGAAAGAATTATTCAAAGAAAGCGTTTTCAAAAAATTTACTGTCTTTAATATAACCTGCATATAAAGAACTTTATATCACGGTTATATATTTTGCGCATTTGTTGGAGAAAAGAATACATCTGATAAGTAAAATGTGTCATCATAAAGTTTCTGTGTCTACAGAAACACAGATGTACCGGATACAACAATATAATCTAGTTCTGTTATATACGACTATTTGATGACCCACATTTCCACATTCACTTTAACAATCGTATGTTATACTGACATACATAAACAAAAATTTCTAACGAAATAATCTTATCCACGATAATAATAAAGTCATATATGTTATAGAGTGTTCCAAAAATGATAGAAAATTAATATAACGTTGTAGAATATAAATAAAAATATGTTTATGTAAATTAATATAAAAATATTATTATAATTTATTTATAGGGAATGTTACATATTACGTATAAACAAATTATAGTAAAATAATTATTTATTAAATTTGAATTGACATATATTTTTACATTTTTAATTAATATGTTTTTAAAATATTTAAATATATATATATTTTTTTAAATACATATTAATAAATCTTTTTATTTAAATCGTATTGTATATATCTCTTATTCAATTCAAGTAAAAAAATTTATCAAAATTTAATTTGATAAACTGTATTAGATTGCATGTATTAAATTATGACTTGATACATAATTATTATTATATTATTAGGAAATTAGAACAGATTCCACTTATACGATTATTCTATTGTTTTGAGACGCGACAATGAGTACTCACGGCCTCATTTCATGATCATAAAATCGATATCTATACCATTGTATCAAAACTCGCCATCTTTTCGCTTATTATTAATGTCGATTATATGTAGATTATAGCGATATAGTATTTGTCGATTTGCTGTTACTTTATATTTAACTTTGGACTTTACAAAGTATAGGTTCGACGCCCTCTCCTTCTAAATGTCTTATACCTTATGCTCATTGCCTTACAGGCATAAGAAAGGCCTCTTTCTTCTTTTAGAATGCCCCTCGTAGGAGCATGGTTAAAAGCGTGGGTTTATTTGGGGCTCGTTTGCGGTTGGAGCAAAGGTGCACGACCACGTTTCGATACATCCACGGATATGGGATTGGTATTAGTTCCAGCGGATGCCGAAATCGATTCCGTGATCTTTCGATTACGCGCCACCGATCAGGATGCGGATTTTCCTCTCGTGTTTGAAATAACCGGTAATTAAAAAGGAAAAAAGAAATATAGCTATAAATATCGATTAGTTATTCTAAAATACGACCAATAGTCAGGAATCGAAATAATTAATTCTACATTTCGTTCGCAGCAACAATTACACCCGTCGTAAGAATCGACAACTTGCCGTGCACGTTGTACAACAAAGTCTGCCAGGCTAATGTAATTTTAACGAAACGCCTTATGCCGGGACGCCTTCACGATTTCGCCGTCAGGGTTCGGGACACTAAGGGAGACTCAAATTCGATGCAGGCTACCATTTCCGCAACGAACGCCACGACCTCGCGTGATAAAATATTCCCTCACATTCCTTCCCTGATAATGATACCTGAGGTATGTAATTATCAATGGCGCTTCTAACAACGTTAATTAGCGCGTGACGTAATTATTCCGACCTTAGAGGTGTAATGCTCTACAAGCTACTTTGGCACGTCATTAATTATCCCGGTGTAATACATCAGCATAAGCGCAAATTCAATTATTACGCAACGCGTAACATTGAGAATTAATCGCAAAAACGTATTAACAGGATGCTAAACCAGGCAGGGAATTAGATTACATTCTCGTACAAGCGAACTCTTGGAGCGGCAAACCAGTTTACATCGAATTATGGGTACGCGTTTAACGGTTACTTTGTAATTCGCGCAAATTAGGTGTTTAATATAAAGGTGTGACGTTGTTTTAGCAACCGAAAGAACTTTTCACTATTCGGCAACGACAAACAGCCACGCAAACGCGCGGGATCATTACGCTGATCGGGGAGTTGGACTTCGAGACGCAATCGATGTACACCCTCACCATTTACGCGACGGTACGCATAATTGTCAATAAACATAAAATACGTACGTGAGCGCGTCACTGATACAATATATTTCCAAGTAGGATCCTTACACGGAACCCGGAAAGGACACCAGGAATATCGCAGGACTGAATATCGTCGTCATCGTGCAAGATGTACAGGACGTGCCGCCAATATTTACCCAAGCACCCCCTTTAACCAGACTTAATAATTCTGTGCAAATCGTAAGTTAAATATATCGCTGTTCAATTTGCTTTAATTTAGTTGTCCGCATAAAAAAAAAAAAATATTTCAAGTGCTCTATTTTACATTCTATATAACTATCGGCAAAAACGTGATATGCTGGCTTTCTATTATTATTATTCAGTCACAGTAACTGCTCTAAATCATTTGTGTCATTTGTAGGGGGACGTAATATTACGAGTCCGCGCGGAAGATGGAGATAAGGGAAACCCGCGTGAAATCACGTACGGCCTGGTGTCCGAGGGCAACCCTTTCATACCTTTTTTCAACATTTCAGAAACAACCGGTGAGAAAAACTGTTGTACTTTCAACGTCTCGCGCAGCTCGACGGAAAGTCAAGAAAATGAGGAGAAAGTAGTTTCGTCGTCGACTGTGCTACATTTTATTCCGAATCCTTGGTTGCGTGCGTTCCAATTATGCTACGCGAGTTGAACGCGCTCAAGGTTTAAAGGACTTCTCCTATCGCGCAGATGCAAACCAGACTTCTAACGTGTAATTAATTTACTCGACGAGTTGAGTCATCGCTAATTCTCCGATCTATCGCGCGTCACGCGTCGTTTCCACTTGACAATCTCGACGGAGGGAAAAAGTAACGGCGTTGATTCATATTCTCCTTTGATACACAAGGCTGACCTCATTCCGCGAAAAGCGCTCGACAATGATTAAGCAGGGAAATTTGTTCGCTACCGTTTCGCTGATGTCGATCTTCCATTTCTTGATAGCGAAGCAATTTATTCCACCTTTCACGTAAAGTCCGCGGAAGAAATCACGTGTATGCTTGTCTTCACTGATTCACGCGCGCATTCTTTATTTTTTTTTTTTTTTACAAAAGTCTCAGACAAAATCACAGCAAACGTAAAATCTTGATGCTCATAAAAATTTCATATTTAAAAATGTACTCTAATATGATGACTAAATAATGACGTAAGAAAGCAAAAAGTATGCGAATAATTTCATTAAGAATCTACAGATAGAATAAAACAGAATAGTTTTAACATAAGTAAATAGAATTTGATTAATAAATAAGATTAATTTCGTAAAATTACCTAATAATTTTTTTTTAAAGTAAAGACAACTTTAAACACGAATGAAAAATAATGCCAACGAAACTCTTGTTATCTATCATCGTGTTCGCGGAATATCAGATTTTTCATAGAAGCCCAAGTAAGTCAGGTAAGAGCGCGAAAAATTGGCGCGGAGTAAACAGAAGGAGCCGAAGGTGGTCTGGAATAAGTCTGGACAGTCTACGGCCAAGTATCGATCGTTCTCAGGGGTCACTCTCTGCTTTTCAACCTGCGATGCTTATCATTCCACAGCAAGGAGCATGCGATACGTACTACGACTCCTTGCGTGTGGGGGTTCCACCTACATCCAGTGGTGTACACATTCATCCGTCGCTGCGAACGATTTCTTAAGTCGATTCCGCGGGTACATTATGTAAAATTATTGCCGGTCAGCGTGCGTGTACGGTACGAGCCGAGACGGAGAAGTAACAAGGATAAGGGAATTCGCGTCTATTATCTCCGCAATGTTTTATTCATATTAAAAATAGTCTATATAGCATCACTACAGTGGTTCTCCTAGAAATAACGAATCGCCTAACACAGAAGTAACGGACATGAGAGACATGTTGTACGATGCGAGACATGCGTAATGTAATAAATTAATGTTGCGAAAGATACCTAAAGATAATTTTGGAGAAAACAATATTTTAAGTAAAAATGTATAAAGTTTTAACGAATAGGTCTAATAATCACAACGGTTTTTGTTATAGCTGCTTAATTTATGATATTATATATCGAGTCATGCAACAGCAACCATTTTTAATAAATATTTTTAATAATTATTAATATATGTTATCAGTATGAAAGGTAATTAAGTTGAATAAAATATTGATCAATGGTGTGTTTAGGTGAGATTATTCTCGCTAAGCCTTTAGAGGAGCTCACGAAAATTACTCACGTTGGCGCTCCGGTTGTGCTCACCGTTGTCGCTGAGGAAATACGAAGATCTAGAGACGAGCCGCCGGCTCAGGCGACGGTCGTTGATGTCGGTTTCCTCCTTGGAGAACCAGGCAACAACCCGCCATATTTTGAGAATGATAAGTTGGTACCCGATGATTTTAGTAACGAGCACGTAAGAGTCAGGGCAATGTCTTTTCATGATTAACCTCTGACTAATAAAATCGTGACTTTAATATCATTATGCCTTCATATATTTTACAAATTATGTGGCATCATTACGCTTTCTTTAATTTTCCAATACTCGATCGTATTACATTATTCGTAATTCGTAACTAAGAGCACAATTTTTTATCGTATTGTCTCGTTAAATGTTTATAATATTTACTTATACTTTGATTTATACTATTTGTAGCTACGTTGCATCGATACCAGAGAATTTGGAACCAGGTTCCGTGATAATGTTCCCCGAGCAATATTTGACTAAAATCCGCGATGAAGACATCGGTAAGGCTGGTGTTTTCGCATTAAAGCTACAGAATAACAATGGTACTTTCGAAATAAATCCTCCTGTTGCTGAACGAACGACGGATTTTATTCTCACGGTGCGAGACAACGCTCTCATAGATTACGAGATGTACGAGAGTTTATCTTTTAAGGTATACCTAAATAAATGAAATTTATTAAATACTTTTAAGGTATTCTTAATGCAAAAATAATAGATAAAATGATTACATTTTATCGTTTCGATTGTATTATATTATTTTTATGTTTCTATTATTTAAAAACATTTAAAATAAGTAAAATTAATTTTATCAATAAGCATTAATAATCAAATACTGTTCAAATTTTTAAATAAATATTTAATTATTGCTGATTATAGATTATTGCTCAAGAAGTTGGTCCAGCGACAAATTTATCAGCATCAGCAACGGTCACAATATTTATACAAGATGTTAATGATAATCCACCAGTCTTTGAAGAAGAATTTTATGAAGTTACATTATCCGAAAATATTACCGCTGGAACACGGGTGATTCAAGTAATATATATAATATAATGCTTCTTTTAAATAAATATAATAAGAATAAACAATCGATAGTATATTCGATATAGTTAACAATTTGACGCGTTATATATTAATTCGGGGAAAAAACGATTTTACTGACAGGTGCATGCAACCGACAAAGATACCGGGCTTTTTGGCAGTATTCGATATACAGGCATAACAGGACGAGGAAGCGACGCTTTCGCGATAGACGCCGATACGGGATTAATCACGGTCGCAATGGGATCGTCTTTGGACCGTGAAATGGCAGCGCAGCTGCAATTAACTGTAAATGCGCGCGACGAAAACGGTAAAGGTAACACGGGTATAGTACCTTTGATAGTGAATTTGCTGGACGTAAATGATAACGCGCCGGTTTTCGAAAAAAGTGCCTACGAATTTACGTTAAATTCCGATTTGACGAATTTTTCCACAGCTGCCATTATAAAGGTAAATTTCGATATTTTTTATATTTTCGTTTTAAAAATTTTATTTGTAAGATTTTCAATTATAAAATATATACTTAATATTTCTGTGAAAAAAAAACTGTTTTAATTAATGCGTGTAGGCTACCGATGCTGATGCCGAATCACCAAACAACGAGATTCGTTATGAACTGATTCACGGAAATTATGAAAATAAATTTTATTTGAATGAGATTACCGGAGAACTGACGTTGCGATCGCCTATCACGAAATTCAGGCGAAAGAAACAAAGTGTCTATGATAATTTTCCGAAGAAATTACACAAAGGGATACAAAATCTTCAAGCAGAACACATAATACGAGAGATTGTGAGAAGAACAACAGTATCCCCGGATATGACAAATTTAACGGAAAGTGTTTCGGACGAAACCGAATTAAAACGCCAAGTCGGCGAGATAAAAAGACATCGAAGAAAACGAGCGGAACCCGATATCTTATACTCTTTAACTGCCAGGGCCTATGATCTTGGTGAATAGTCATATGATAAATGTAGTTCAGCAAAATAAATCGTAGACAAAGATTAGGAATTTCGTAGAAATTTTGATAAAATAAAAAGATATTCTTTACTATACTCTGTTCTTTTTTTCATTCACGCGATGTTCTAGGTGTACCTCATCTCGCAAGTGAGACTGAGATCTCCATCGTCAGAGGTACTGCTATGGAAGCTCGCATAATGATGTTTGTGATACCGGGAGAACGTCCAAATTTAACGAAAACCTCGGAGACATTAGCCACTATCACTGGTGGACGAGTTACCGTACTGGATACACGTCCTTACGAATCGGATAATAAAACCGGCGTAACAAGCAATACTGTTCCAGCGGCAGGGAAAAGGTTGATAGAAACTATAGTAAAATTTATCGTTTTCGCATTTCAAGAAAAGTAAATTTAAATGTCAAGAAAACGTTTATAATTATTTAAGAGTTATTCCTTTCAAATCGACTAATAAAAATTAAGAAAATTAAAATTAACACTAACAAATTGTTAATCTTTCATATTGCTTTTCTTTAGAACGATCGTGATAGCCCGCGTTGAACAAACCGAAATCGGTACCCCTCTGGTAGACGTGGAAAAAATTCGCAACACATTAGCCGCGAATGGGGTGGGCATCATCGGCGGCGCAGGTACTGCGCCCAATGGGTCTATGACGTATTACGGGACTACCACGAAAGTTCCAATCGATGGAGTAATTCACGATGGGGGAGATAGCGCGGGGACCTATGTAAACAAAACGATCAGCAATGTTCACGAGGAAGTAGTGAGTAGACGCTAATTGCCCACATTCGTTAATTTTATCGCGTGACACATCACTTTTATTCAGAATTATATTACTTGATTCACGTTTCGTAAAAATTGTATTACTTATTAACTTATCTTTTAATTAAATTAATTATTAATTTATTTTTTTAGACAATCTTAGATATATTAGAAAATATTTTCCTTTCTATACGTGTAATAAATCGTTTATTGTGGAATAGAAAAATTTGGAAAATAATTTGGTAAAACGAAGCATATGGATATGCAAATTTTAAAGCAGAATACAATGTTTTATCATTATTTTATTTATTTCAAGGTTTAGATTGCCTCGTCTTAAATTTTATTGAGTAGTCTTGCTATAAATCATAATTTTTCTTTTATCTCAGTTGGTAATTTTCTATTTTAGAAGAATGAGAAATCAGGGTTCTTTTTCAGACTGTGTACAAAGCGGAGAATAAACTACTCTTTTGGTTACTGATTATTCTGGGCCTGCTAATGTTGCTGGCTATCGCGGCGCTCATCATCTGCTGTATCTGCCCAGGCTGCCCATTTTACATGGCACCCAGAAAGCGCAGAGTTTATTCGTCGGAAACGCTTATTGCTCGATCCGATGGTCGACCGAAACGGCATCTTTATCGGAAACCAATGGCTGCGATCAACAGTAATTTGTCAACTATTTCATTTTCAAACGTTCAAATACATTCTCTTTAAAATAATTTCTTTAAATATTATAATCACATCTAGTTTCACGTGTTTTATAATTTAAAAAATTACCTCTATATACAAAAAAAATGTGATTTATTGACAAGAGCGATATATGAAACAGTAATTGCACCGAATGGAAGGAAGCAAGCTTGGAGCGCGGATCCAACTCGAAGAAACTGGCAATTCAATCGTCGAAACACAAAGAACGGTGGCTTAGCGTCACTTCCTGGTGACGTTGTGTACATTTCGGAACGTCCTCCAATCGACCAAGCGAATATCGAGTCATTAAGACTACGTGACGGACCGGCTTACGATCCTTCGAGGAGGAGGAGATTTGAAGAACAAGAGAGAATGTATGTGGAGGATGTCGAGGAGAGAAAGGCTAGAGATTACGATGCCACGGATGCAGATTCCTTGCAACGACACGAAATCGAGCGTGGCTCGGATATTCAGCGTCAAACTTACAGACAAAGGTAGAACGCGTTTATTTTCATAAATTTCCCTATAATGTCTATTTTATAATTATTTCCTCTTTTAAAATCAAAATTTTTAAAAGATATAATTGCAATAAGCAATAATTTCTCCCAATTAGAACAAAAGATTAATAATACATCGCATGTTATCCTGTTACAGATTTGTCGATCCTGAGTTAAATGAGATGGCGATAAGAGAGCAACATTTTTATCGCGAGGGTAACGCAGAGGTGCTGCAATTAGTAACGCGGGGACAAGTGGAGGACAGAAGTCAACGTCGTCATTATCCTACTTTTATAGTGGACGGCAAGGATGTACTTCTGCAGCGATTCATACAGGACCAGAAGGCGCGGCACGAGCTGCCGATGCAGGAAGCCGAGGTGGTGCGCACCATCGACTCTCATCAACGCTCGAGAAATTTATATCAGCACAAACAGGAGATTCTCCTTCTGCCGGAAGAACTGGACGTTAGACGTCGACGCGCGGAAGAATTGGAGTCCGGTATGCAAAAGCTGGCGATGGACGACGAATACGCGATGCAAAACGCAGACGCGGAGTCGCAGATACGGCAGGGTCGTCGTCAAGAGATCTCGACAGGCGTGCCCAGAGTATCGCCCAAAGACAGACCGTCGATCGTCAAAGATCAAGCGCAAACCATGACAGAGCAAACGTACACGGTTCACGATCTCGAGCTGGCGAGGCAGAACGTTCTCTTGACGAGGTTACTATTAGAGAGGGAATCTAGGCACGCTGGTGGCGTAATGATAGATACTGCAAGTTACTTAGAGACTCAAAGTCTTCCCGGGCAAGTGGCAATTGCGACGCAGACTGACAGAGTCGCTACGACACAAACGGAACGGCATGTCCGAAGCAGAAGTGACAACGACGAATCCGATGAGGATATTCGAAATCGAAAAAAGATGAAGAAACGCCACGGCGAGGGCGATTTGAGAACGCGGACTTTATGGATGAAAACACCCATCGAGGAAGAGGAAGGCCCGTGCTTTGATAAACGACTGAACATCTTAAGAAAGAAAGTGCAAGACGTGAAGGAGGGACGAAAGATATCCTTGCAGCCTGAAGTGCTGCGAGAGATCTCGGATTCTCTCGACGAGAATGGAAGCACTTATCACGAGGAAGCAAGAAAGTCAGCGAAAACTTGTCAACAATACAGCGAAGAGAGCAGTATTGGATATAAAGTATTGGGCGACGAGAAAAACGGTTCCTCCTCGTCGACGGAAATAGATAAGCAACATGAGAAATTTTCCGACGAGAAAAGAGCGAAGAGCTTGTCCTCTCCGGAGTCTCCGGAAATAAGTATCGATAACGGAAAATATTTTCGCGAAACGACGGAGAAGAAGAGTTCCAGGAAAGAAAGTAGAATAAAAAAGCAAAAGAAGGTAGAATCAGTGATAAAACCTAGCTTTCGAGTTTTAGAGAGAGAAATCACGATGCTAACGAAGAAGCTGAGTAAACTCGCTGATAAAAAGGTACCGCAAACCGGATCTGAAAGTACGAGTCAGGAGAAATCGAGAACGTCGAAGGACTTCAAGAAAGATTCGGATCAGAGTATATCGAAGAAAGCGGAAGACGTAAAGAAGCACAAACGATTTGAGACTTCTCCGAGTATATCGAAAGAGACGAAGAAAGAAAAATTTAAGTATCAGCAGCCGCAGAGGATGAGTGCCGGCAGTTCCGAGTACGAGGACGCGTTTGAAAAACAGGAGAAATCGAAGTTGGCTCCTCGTCAAGAAACCGCGAAGCACAAACAGCCAAGTAGCCATGCAAAGGTGAAGAGGCAAACGCCGATTGAACGTAAGGAACGCAAGAAGCAAATCATACAACAGGATCAAGAGTTCGAGAAGCGCAGAAGTGCCGCGAGTAAAGAAACCAGGTCGAAGATTGAGAAAACTGCCAAAGTAACGTCGCGTACGCAAAAATTAGCAGCGATTGGTCGTAAGGAGCATGTTCATGTGTCGGAGGAACTGAGTACGAGTACAAGTTCCGATCGTATGAATGGCAAAAAGGACTCGTTCAGTCGGGACTTCGACAAGAAGAGCACGGAGTCTTCAGAGGTCGCATCAAATCACGCGTTTCAACGAAAATCGAAACAGAGGCTAGATCACGTGAGCGAGAGATTCTCTGATGACTTTGTGACAAAACCGGAGACAAGAGACATCGATCAGCCATGCGCGCTTCATTCAACGATGGGCAGAAACCTGGAAAGGAAAGACATTGCGAACGGAGATATCGAAATAATACAACAATTTTCTGATGATTTCACAGTGGAACCACAGATAAAGAAACTGGAGTATCAAATGCAAACTGCCGTTGATAATGAGATAAATGGTAGTAGACAAAATGCGTACCACGATTTTGACAAAGAGCACATGAGTTTGAAGGAAGCCGCTACTGTAATTGAAAATGAACAAGGTATATCTCATGATTTTGACAAAGAACATTTGACGTTAAAGGAAACTGTTGAAGATCTCACAATTCTTCAAAATTTGGAAGATATGCAACGCAAAAGTGAGAAAATATTAGACATCGCAAGCGAAAAGCAATCTGAATTATTTGAAGCCTCTAATAAAGAGGAAGATAGCAGCAAAAAAACAATACCTACGGATTCTCTTGCTCTAGAAACATTAGAAGAACATCAAAGAGAAAAACTGCCTAATGGAAAAAGCGCCGTTGAAAAACGAACAGCTTATATGTCCGGAAAGCACAAGGAAGCAGCAGAAGAATCTTTCTATAAAACTGAAAAGGAAATTACAGAAAAGAAGGAAGTTATACTGGAAAAAGAATTACATGAAATACAAAGATTAAAAGATGCCGAAGAGACTGCGAGCGAAGAAGCGAATGCATTAGAGAAACGTATAGAAGAAAAAGAACATACGCGCAATGAATTATATGATATTATTTCATTAAAATCAGAAATAGAAAAAGATTCAAAAGATATTAAAGATGCCAAGCAGGTATTATATTCAAGCGAAAAAGACGAAATTGTAGAATTACATAAAACTGAAAGTGATCAGAGAGAAGAGTTAAGTCCTGAATCAAAGAAACGTATTGAAGAGGAAATTTCTTTGACGAAAGTTGCAATAGATGTCGGACAAAAGATGATAGAAGAATTCATGCAAAAAGAAAAAGAGGATTCACATGACGTAGAAAAATCAAAAGAACATATAACTCAGGAATTTGACGCCGAGAAAAGGGAAGAATCGACAACTGAAGCGTCTGAAGAACCATTTGATGTCAGTCAATCTTTTACAGACGATACTCGAAATTTAAATGGTTCTCAGAGAGCATTTTCAATCGATGATGATATATTGTACATTGACGAAAATAGTGACGAAGCGTCAAAATCAGATCGCGATCTGACTCAATCTGAGCCCACCGAACTATCAGATGTTATAAAAAAAACTTCTGATAAAGACGAATTGGAGCATTTAAGCGACGATCTAATCACGAAGACAGAAATTGAAAGTCATAAAACTGAGAAAGAATCCCACGTATCCCCTCAAAAAATACCTGATCTTCACGAGACAAAAAAGGAAAAACTTGATGAAGACGAGCTTCTTACGTCTTTAATGGATACTACTTCTAAAATAAAAACTATTGAAAAACAATTACAAGTCGAGCATGAACAAGAGAAAGAAGAATCATTTCTCGAAGAATCTGAGAAAACAACAGAAGAAATATCTGCATTAAAAGAAAGATCTGATGAAGAATTAAAACAAATAATTGATAAGGAACCTTCTATCGAACAGAAACACTTGTCGAAAGATTCGGATCTGCAAGAGCCAATTGTCAGTGAGCCAGACAGAACGGAGAGTTTTGTGATAATCTCTGAGAGCGCAGCAGTCGTAGAACCGCGAGACAAAGGAGAGCAGCAAGCAGACGTAAGCGTTCCAATTTTTAGCAACTTTATTGATGATACAATCGATGTTTCGGAGGAGAGCGACTCATCCAGTGATGTTTCCAGGAAAACAACGCTGACCACGAGACCCTATGATACCCCGCGCCATCGGCAAAAGTGGCAGCAGCAAGAAAGCATTGAAATAGCGGGAATATCTGGGGTAAGAACGTTCAAGGATGGAGATGCGAGAACAGGAATCGAACCAGAAGAAGATACCGACAGCAACTTGTCGCTCGATGAAATTGAAAAGACAGAAGATTCGATCACAAGCGAAGCGACGAGTGAATTAAAAGAAAATACAGACATCGCTGCTATATCTGAAAATATTTTCTCCGATGATAAAAGCATTTCGACCATATCTCTTTTAACAGACGGAAGTGATAAAGATATAGCAGACAAAGATTTCGAATCAAAAACTGAAATTGAAATTGAAGAAAATGATATAAAATCAGAAATAAAAAATTTATTGACGACAATTCAAGATATAATTCCCATGACTCTAAATATTAAAGAATTAAATGGCATGTCAAAAGAAAATATTAACAATGACATTTTGGTAACAAAGGAAAATGTGGAATCTAAAAGCGAGATTGCTACACCTCGTAAAAAGATCGAAAAAGTTTCCGAATCTGTGAAACAAGATAATAAAAGTAAAACTAGATTGCCTTCAAGAAAGTCTGAGCAAGTAGGTCTAAAAGAAAATAAAACAATAACTGAAAACATTGAAATAGACAAAATAAAAAGTAAGAAAAGTGACATATTATTAACTCCGGAAAAATATATTGCGAAAACTATATCTTCCGAACGTGTCGCAAAGAAGGGAAAGAAACCTGAGCGACCAAAGCCTTCTCCCGGAGAGAGAAAACGTGTTCCTGATAAATCAGAAGAAAAAACGACGCCGAGTTATTCTCAGCGTCGATCTCGCAAATTTACCGAGGGTAATTTAGAAGAGCAGACAAGAGAATCGCAGAAGCAATCATCACAAAGAGATGAAGAGCATCGCCAGAAACAGCAGATACCCAAATCAAAATTTAAGACAGACAAGAAATCTACAATTTTCCCAAAAACTGGCGAAATCGATGTGAGTAAAACGCAATCGAAGTACATGGCTTGGTACAATAAGAAACGCGAGGAGGCGGAGAAGAAGAGATTGGAGAGGAAAGCGGCGGATGACGAGGAACAGTTACCGCGCTGGGTAAGTAGGGGTTTGAAGCAAACGACGAAGCAAAGAGAAAAGTTAACTATGGAGCGCAAAACGCCAGAGATAACGCCGCGTACTAGACGCAAGGTCAAACCTCTGGTGAACGTCGAATCCGAGCAGTTGAAGGCTATCGTGCGTCAAGGGCGAGAATTAAGAAAGGCCGAGGGCAACCTCAAGGAGGACCCGACGATTCAGATATTCGCCAGAACACCACCGGTCTCCACTTTGGACACGCAGCATCGTCTGCAGCAGCACTCGGAATACAAATACGAGAGAATACCACCGCCATTCTATCTTCATCCACCCCCGGCGCCGCATCCGTCGCCGCAGTTATCCCCAGAAAGATCCCTCGAGATACAACCGTGTCGGTCGCAATACGAACAATCCGAGGATGATCTGCATTCTGAGAATGCATTGCCGTTTCAAAGCGGCAGTCGTCTACGCCATCAGCAGCTTCTCGAGAAAAAAAGCGTCTTCGACATCGCGTACAGTGAAGCTGCACCATCGCAACTTCGATCTGATAGCACAACTCCGCCGTCCTAACTCATAGACATTGATATTCTTAGTATTATTTATATATGTTTCTATAAAAAATATATATAATACGATATTGAATAAAATTATCTATTTTGCAAATATTATATAAAATTATTTCAATTATGCATTTCCAATTATGTAATTATCGTTATATCCTTAGCATAAAAAATAACAATTTTATATATACTTATTTACAATAAAAATAGAAAAATGAAATCTTGTACATATATTTTATAGTTTCTTATTGATTAGTATTAATTATTGCATAGTATTAATTTTTTTAACCACTCTCGTTTCCTTTACTGCCGATAAAATATTATATAGATTTATCTTTAAGGAAACGTAGGTGAATTGATCAATTTTATATTAAATTTTATTATTCGAGTATATACTAATGTTTATATTAATACTTGTAAATAAATATATGTATCAAAATCTACATTGTACATAATTAATTTCGTTTTCCCTTCATTAATTCCATTTTCTATTTCTTGATTATATACATATATGAAGTATAAATTATAAGAAATATTTTATTTTAAGTTTAATAATTTTTATTTAGTATACTTCAATATCCTTAAAAACTGCTTTAGGCAAATATGTACGTATAATTCACTTAGAGTTACATTGTTTAATCGGAATTTATTATTTGTGTCTGTGTACGCAACCGACGTTACAATAATCATATGCATAGAAGTATAGTGAGAACTAGCTTCTGCCATTTCTGCTTTGCTGCTACAAAAATATCCTCCACGTCGACTTTACCAGCTTCTTATCTTTTACCAACCACAATTTATCTGCGCTCGGTGTACCGTCTGTATGAATAACGTATATTCGACCGATTATTACCAGTCGAATGACGATATTGTCGACGTAAGAACATCCTTCATTATCTATTATTATTAATAATTTAATACTGATGTATATCGCATTAAATTATACCATCATATTATCATCAAATATTAGTATTAATATTGGAAATAATAAGAATACTATTTTTATATCTATGTTAGAATGTAGTATATTAAAAAAAAAGAATAATGAGATTTAAGAGATCCGAAAATTAAAGATTATCTTTAGTACATTAAATACATTGTATTCAATATTTATTATTGATATCGATATATTATTTTACATTATACAGAACGATTGGAAATCTAGGGAAAAAACAATTTCGAAATATTCAAGCTTATCTTGAGCATCAGTTCCAACACTTCGCGCATAATATTCAGCAATTATTAATTACTATTCGTGCTAGAAACGTGTAACCGAAGAGAGAAAAAAAGGTGTCTCTTCGTGATACGATGACAAGTGTCCATCGAGCGTTCTCCACCGCATCGTCGCGTGCGTCGGCGAACGCGTGGCGAACAATTACGTGTCTCCCCAGCTTTGACGTGTCGGTGGCGTGTTGCTGACGACAGAGATGACGTTACCGATGCAACTAACCTACCGTAATCGAAAACATAATGGTGCATCAAACATAACCGGAGACTGGTAAATCTTTGGAATGGGGTAGCACGACGGGCAAGCTGGTTCGCACCGGCCGAGCGCAACTTCGAGGTCGCCAGCTAGCTCGCACAAGATTACCGGCGCCAATACCTTGCTCGCGCATATACCCGCCTGATACCCGGGAACCTTATCAGTCGGCCGTTTGCAATCGATTCTGGTTAGCTATTAACTGTTGGATTGGCAATTGGGTCGTTTATGGTAAATACAGGCTGAGCCCGAACGGACCCGAGGGACCCGTCCGACGATCACATGATGAAAAAACGAATTTGACCAAAAAGAGAAAAGAGAAATCGTCAATGATTGCCAATTGAAAACATAATGAGCGCGAATGCATTGTTACATAATTGCAGACCTGTAATTGCTTACTGTCCGTTATAACTTAGTAAAGACGCATCTGTAATTTAAATGTAATTTTAGTTGTTGCATTTAAATATTAATGTTTTAATGAGAGTTTTAGTGGACGTATACAGAGGAAAGAATAATGCATCAATATACTAAATAAATTAATTATATATCCTTATCATTAATTATATCTTATTCTCGTTTCATTATCTTGCTATTTATCAATTTCATCATTCATTTGCGACGTGGTATTACTGCACATTAGAGGCTACAGGAATATTCATTGACACGCAAAGCTATAGAAGTAGCCAGCGTCACTGCTTATTTTACAACGAAAACACGTACCGTACTTTACATATTGCAATAATGTTGCAAATTTGCATCAAGATCACGGTTGATTCGCTCGATCCCGTCGATGGCATTTCACAATTGCGTCACAGGCCAGAGATTAGGCTCATGTTATTTCAACTGGCGGCAGCCAGGCATTGTCGCGCGTTGTCAACACGAGATATCCTTGTATGAACAATGGGCCAAATGTTAATTGTTGTTAATAAAGAGTCATGTATGTTGCTGTTGCAACGGCAAGCAGAGCCGCGGAAGAGGCTGCACCTGTACCAGCCGTGCGCGAAGCGCAAACACACCTGAAACCTTTGACCTTTTCATCGACGCTCGCCTCTCCTGCCTCGGCGACCATCGATCTTTTCCCCTCGTCCGCCCCTTCGAGCCCTTCGTCAAACTGCAATCCCATCCCCATCAAGCGTCTCGTTGTGCGGCACCGGATACGACGGCTGCGTCCCTGAAAGCGAGATCGCGATCGGTGCATTTGATTTGATTGCACGAGGACGAATGTACGATCATATTTGGTAACTCGCGGCTTTCGAGCTTTGAGTCCAAATGCGCGGAAATAAACAGGAAAAAGGAGACGTCGAATCCCGAATCGAAATGCTGAAACGAGAATAGAGAAAAATAATTGAAACTGTTTTGACACAACTTGTATCACAATTTGTGATAAATAATCTGTAATATATAAATATATTTTTGCTTTATGTCATACCGTCTTTCAAAAAATCGGTACAATTTCAATATAATTTTTACGTGCTTGACTCGCGTATCTTTTCTCTCTCGCGCGCGACGTTTTCCAGATACCAAGTAGCGTCTAAAAAAATGCGTTGCTTCTTCGTAGCTGACTCCTAAAGCGAGTATTCCCCGCGGGTGCTGACGAAACGTTGGTCCAGCCCTGGGTGGATTTCGCGCGGTGCGCTATTTTTGCTTTAATTGCGATCTCGCAAATATAGCGGTGCGCGAGCGCGATACGCGCCGTTGAGGGGCACGGCGCGCGTTATAAGCGGAGCGGGTTTGGCCCGGTCCTTAATAGCCATCAATCATTGCCAAAATTCGGCAACGCGTCGGACAACACGGGCGGCAGGATACTATCACCAAAGTAGAGTTCTCCGGGACCCAACGGGAGCGCAAGGAGAGCACGGGGACAGGGGAAGGGACCGGAGTGAGACACGGAACCCGTTCGATACTTCCGAAAACTCGGCCCGACCGCTCTACGCTCCGCTTGCGTTCACACAAATCCACGTGTTACCAGCACACGAACGCCGCGTTCAAGCACCAACACGAGTAAGATAGCCGAGTAGAAAGGAAAGTGAATGGAATCGGTGTGACATCGTGGAGACTTATTGATTTCAAGCGGATTAAAAAAAATTTACGATGTATTTTATAAATAACGGCAAAAGAAATCTGCAATTTTCGTAATTAAAACTTTCGTCCTTGAATGCATAATTTTTTAGATTCATTGAACAAGAGAATGATAACGATCGATAATTCTTTCCACGTAGACCTTAAAAACTATATAGATACAAGCCATCTTTCTATACCCGACGTCTCTCGAAATTACATTTCGGTAGTCTGAGAGCACTAATTACATTGCTCTAATCTTCGTTACAGATCGCGTCTGTGCGCTCGAGGATTGAATAACGGGCTCCGACGTTTCCCCGATGGACGCTCGCTGACGATGAGAAACAAATCGAAAGCGCGTCGATAACTGCAAAAAGTCCTCGCGGAGCGCGGCAGATTTCAATTAGATTGAGAGCGAAATGCGATTATACGCGAATTCCGCCTTTCGTCGGATATGTAAAGGCCGATGCAGATCACGCGATACTGCCCGGCGAGCGGAAGCGAGGCGGGCTAGAACCCGAAGATTAACCGAGGGAGTCGCACGCGTGCCTCCTGCCCACCCACTTGCAAACACGCGTGCACCGACGGGGAACCGAGACGGGATCTTGCTTCCGGTGAGTGACTCGGGAGAGCGTGTAATTAGATATCGAGTTTCACGCTCGGTCCTACCCGGCGAATATCTATAATCTGACTTCAAAGCACCCGCGAACTTCCCGCGCGGCCGCCCGGGCCACGGGAAAAGTTTGCGCGGACACTTAATTGGAGAGTGTATCCGATGCGCGCTGCAAATGCTATTTGCATTTCAAACGAACCGGTCTAATGACACGACGACGGCGACATTTATTTGCTTGCATAAATCATGCCCGAGACCCGAACGAGACCGAGACGCGCGCGTTGCAGTTACCGTCCACGTCCCACCGATTCCCGGAAACTACCGGTTAAGTTGCCCCTAAGTACAACTGATCGCCTTGCAGAACGAAATTTGCCCCTCTGACTCGTGCGAACAGCGCGAATGCATCGTATCCGTTCGCGTGTGAACGAAGGATTGCTGCACGAGTCGATTCACCTTAAAGCGTTAGAATCATCTCTTATACTCTCTCATTACATTATAAGTTAAAATACTAATTTAATATAACGACGCACAGTGGAATATTTTTCCATAATACATTCGTTCAATAATACAAGGAAAAATTATATTAACTATGTCATCGTAATGCAGATATAACAATCGAATTTTTAATTATATCGATAGCAGTTATACGTAGACGTCACAAAACCAGATACCGAGTGCATCGTAAGATATCTATTCGTCAGAAACTCGAAAAAAAAAATCTATAAAAAAAATAAATCTTATCATTTCGCGCGACGCGTCAGCAGTGATAATTTTCTCGCGACGAAATACTTTTACTTATATAAGCAGAAACATAAGCCTTTATCTTCTGTTTGCCGATCAACACGAACGTATCTTCGCCGCATGTACAATCCACCAATAAAACT